GTAACATGTCTTTTGGACACGTTTCAAGCATAAGAGAGACAGAGAGAGAAAGACATGACGTCAGCAGTTTAATTCATAAAGTTAGTCGAATAAAATGTGAGCAATTTAAGCATGATATGCTAACTAGATTTATGTACCAGACATGATTTCCATGATGCAATTTAGTCATTACTTTTTAAAATGAATAAAATATGCATTCGGTGCTCACACAACTTATCATATTATTCTTCCATTTATTATTATTCTTTAAAATTAACTAGAGATGAATATTAAATATTTTTTTAACAATTTTTTAAATTTCAGTATGGGCAAATTTCATTTAACAAAAGTAATTTCTTAAGCTCAAAAATAAATAATTTTTGTCATACTATAAGTTTCTAAACTCGTTCTTTAATTCGCCTTCTTCAGTAGCATATTTCAATTCCATATTTTGACAGTTCATTTGCTGCTGTGTCTTCAACAGGTGCGAAGTTGCAAGTATGATGATTTGCTTCATTTTAAGTTCCATAATCGCCGTAAATTAATTGATTTTTCAATTAATATACAGTAAAATAATAGTAACATTTCCTGAAACAGCGTCACAGAAAAGTGTAGTGCTTCCATCTATGAACAAAACATAAAAACATATTATTATGTTTTGTTCTTTTATTATTAGTTTCTCTTGGAAGTTTTTAGCACACGGGTTTCGAAACATTTACAAGCTCATTATTCAGAGTTATCGTAGGGTTTGTTACCCTCCAAACAAAATTAAGTAGTTGAAAACTATCCTTATGCGCTGGATAATATGTGGATGGTAGTTTTTGAATTATTTCTAACTTGTCATATTAAACAGAAGCATCGCCGTCAGATTTATTATTATGAGATAATCTATTTCCAAAATATTACCTTAATTCATTACACTTCGAAGAGGTAAATTCATTAATAAACCGATAATTATATACAAAAATCAAAGTTTTTCAGCTTTATGTTTTAAAGCCACTAAAGTTGCTAGCCGCTATGTTCAAGTCATCATGTACTACCAACTAAAATGTTCAATAATCTTATACTATTTGCTAAAATGCTCAAATCAGTGTTCTCAGACATTGTAGAAAAACATTAATTTCTATATCATTTTTGTACCAAAAATTTCTTCCCTTAGCTCCTTATACATTCAAAATTTGGAAGCAATTCATGATTTTCTGAAAGTTTCTTTTCTTCTTTCAGGTAGCCTAATCTGCATTTATAAATTTTAGTAATTTCATTTGTGTTTCTAAAAATATTTTCCTCGAAATTGATTAATTATTTATTTTAGGATTGATAACACTATTACAAAATTGTGCCAAGCAGTAATACAATGAATAAACTAATCAGCTTATTCTTATCTAAAAGCCGTATACTCCAACTTTTCATCCCCCCCCTTTTTTATGTCATTAAAACCACATAGCTGATTTAATCAGTCTTTAACTCCAGAATTTCTGTAAACAAATGAGGCATTTTCTGATATCTGTTTTCATCACTAAACGTAAATTAAGTGCTATCCAGCAAAACTGGAAAATAACGGGCTTTAATTTTCTTCTGTTTAATTTTTTCTAACATAAAATTAACTAACTAATTTTGAATATCATATTCAAAGCCGTGAGATGTTTTTAATTACTTTTAAATTTCATTGAATTATTTTTTTTTCCAAGCATTTTTATGCAATTCAATAATTTTAAATACATTGCATTATTTGAATCAAACAGTTTTAATGATTTACCTCTGACATTGTTATAAACCCAGTAAATAATCATACAAACAAGAGAAAAAAGGAAATATAAACGCAAATATAAATCATAACTTTTATATTTGCTCTTATATGTGCTCTATAGTTGTGTTTTTTTTAATTATTTATTTATTTGAATATCTGATGTCTGAATAAGCATACAGTGACAAATGAATGCACATAAGAGACATCACATCATGACAAGACATTATGTAAATGATATACATTTAGTGTGACCACTCATGATCACATCTCTTGCACTGAAACTGCACTTGTGAACTGGCAGATTTAAATAGCACCATCTCATCGGTACTGCATGGCGCAGTCCACATGTACGGAAGGAAACTGATGCTGTTTACTCGCCAGTGACGACGATTTGTGCATTTGACAGACTTTCAGTGAAATGTATCTTATAATTGGAAAGAAAATCGGAGAGTGGTCGGCGTATATCGTATAGCTTGCTACATGAACATTCGGATAATACCATTTAGTAGTGTTGGCAACTGTTGATACGGGAGAAAAGCGTATACCGAACAATTCAGAAACGACCAGATAAAGCACCAGTACAGAAAATCAAAGAATCATTCGCGAGGAACGTATGGATCCAATAACGACCCAATCCACTGTATCCACTATGGTGTCCGCAATGCTCGTAAATTCGAAAGCTTCGGAATTTTTTAATCTAAGCACACAAGAACTCTTTTACCCTAGCAGTACAGGATTCCGCTTCCGTGTTACGGCCTCGAGTTCTTTCCCCGAAGCTAATGATGTCTCTCCCACAGCACTTCTCATTCGACCCATAGATGTCGCCACGAGCAAGCTCCGCTTAAAACACAGAAAGTGTCTCGCAACTACGCGCTATAAACCACCTCGGCTTTGCGGCCACCGCACTACTATATCCGCTCAAGTGGGTATGAAATACCTCTGTGAAACGCCTCCAAGAAACGGATCTGCGATTAAGTGTTGCTCTTAACGTGTTCTATCTTCGTCATCACAGCAGCTCCGTTTCTAATAGTGTCAGGATAGAGCAGTGGTCCCTAACCTCTCTGTGCCTAAGAGCCATTCTAGAATATCTGTTGGACGAGGGACACCATTTACTTTTTCAAGGTTAATTTATAATTTTATAGACTTAATAATACATGCACATAAAAAAAAGAGGTCGGTCGGATTTAGCTTTGTGCTATCTGTGTTGGACGCAATTTCAATTTCATTAAAAACGAGAAAACTTTCACATAGAATTGTATTGAGAACTGAAACATTTTTATTGTGTTCGCACAGTGGTGGACACACATTAAACGATCGGCGGGCGCCATGGTGCCCGCATAGACTTGGGAGTCCCTGGTCTAGAGCAACAGAATAGCGATCTATGATGCTTAGCGATAAATGTCTCTTCGTTTTGGGGCTGAATGACTATCGCGTGCAAGTGTGAAGGTTCTGTGACTAGCTGTGAAATCCTAATCTCGCTGTCGAACATTACTTACATGTCTTCCTGCTTTTGAAGACATATCCTACGATAGATATATTGCTCTACTAGGGATTCATGGTACACTGACTGCCCAGCAGTATGTAGATGAGGTTGCATGGTCACATGTAAGGGAAGGTAGTCTAATTTGGACCGTAGCCTTATTTGAATCGCTATGATATACAAAGACTGATGATATCTGCGAGATTTGAGGTAGACATTTTGTTATATGTAGATGCAGAAGAGGTTAATGCAACTGTGTTTGTAAAGAAACGCCTCGTGGTTACATTGAGAGAAGTGTTATTCGTTTGGCTAAGAAGAATCAGTTATTTTGACATAAGTGTGAAAGCAGTTAATTCGTCTAAACGTAAGTAATTACATGTCTTATTATACCATCACAAAACTTACTTATTTATCTACAATTTGCAATTATAATTTTGCTAGGTTATATTAGTTTGACGTTTCTGTATAATATCAAGCATTAAATATACATGTTTCCCAAGTTGGACCGAAAACAGTTTACCGAAATTGAACCGGTCCAATTTCGGCAACGACATTTTTTTCATGGATAAATTATAATTAACCCTAAATTGCTACTCTTCGAAAAACTTATGGGAATGGCAACCATTCGTCTCCGAGACGAAGTATGCGTAAGCGTGCTAAAACTTATTTTAAAAGCTAATTGCAGAAATATTTCGGCAAGAAGGAAATTTCTTATCTGTAGTAGCCAAAATCTGCAATAGCAAAAATCAGTTCACCGAAGTTTAACAAAATGCAGAAGCATAAAAAAGAAACTGGTGATTCATGGTTTTGTATATTATGTGAAGAAACTAAGGAAGAAGAAAGGATACAATGCATGAAATGTCACGGCTTGGATACATTCTCGGTGTGCTGGAGTTAGTGCTGCAATTAAAAGGTTCTTTTGTTGTAATTGCCGTTAAGAAAACTCATGGTCCAATTTAGGAAACTAGCGGTCCAAATAAGGAAACCGGTTTCCTAAATTGAACCGATGACACGATTTTTTTTAATTCATTTTTCACCATTATAAATAATTTTTAAAATTTAATAAATCGTTCTATTTTGAAGGTACACTTAGTGAGTTTATTTTCTACTACTTAATTTTTATTGGCACTTCTTCCGTCTTCCTATATAGTGAAAAATACAAAATTGGTTCAAATTAGGCTACTTTCCCCTATATTCCTATTTCTTGCCTGAAATCTTTTAGCGTTTTCCCAGTAGAAAATTCTCGACTACATTTAGCAAGGATTGTACAAGAATTCCTATATCATGTGCAGATAATTACATAGCCTGCCCATTCTCCGCCTTTTCCCCTTATCAGGTATATCTGGGAGCATATGAGACATTAGCTACTAGTCTTTTTTTTTTTTTTTTTCCTATACGTTTGAGATTCCTCCATAACGTTTTTCCTGTTCACATGTAAGAGGTATGTGACGGAAACTTGCTTTTAAAGTAGGGATTCGCGGTAAATTTAAACTTGTAATATTTTGGCTGAGGTATTTATGATTTTTTTAATCTACTGTCATCAAGAAATAAATTTAAAAAATTTGAATGATGTCCATTATAGAGGGCTACTTCTGCTCTGAACGTAAAATATTACAATTACAAATGTTCCAAATAAATATTTAAACTGACTATACATAACAATATTTTGTGTTGTCTAATAAAAAATGAATAAATAAAGAAAATATTATTACACATATTTAATTTTTAAATAATGAAACAATTTATCAATATTTTAAATTATTTCTATAAAAAACTACATAATATATTAAGAATGTCTGCATGAGAAATATATTAGCATAAGGAAATATATGACGATATTTTCCTGCTAGCAGAATATGGGTTTTCGTAAAAAGGTCCTTTTTCTGGAAAGAATTCAAATAACTTTAAGCATTATAAAAGTCTCCATGTATAACTGAGCTTAGAATAAAACTGCGTAAAATGAATTCGCTTTCAACAAAATTTTCTGTACTTTTTCACTTATTATTTATACATTTCACTTTCAGACAAATTCACTGTGTTCTTCAGGTATTATTTTGAAATGAAGTTTGCATATTTTACACATTTATCATTATGTATCATTTAAGTTAAAAATCCATAACTGAATATTAAATTTCGATGGAAAATGTTTGCATAAACTTATGGTTAGTGAATGGAAAAAGAACTTAATTTCAAGTCACTTGGTTTTCTTTTGTCCTCTTTACGGCTGCTTTTGCTTGTCAATCTTCCGTTCAAATCCTTCGAATCGAACTTTCCCTAAGCTAAATACTTTTATACCATTTATATTCTCACGAGATAAATGCAAACTGAATTTTGATTTCAACTAGTTGAACCACTAGTGAAATGATTAGTAGCATAATTTGAAAGGTTTCCTTCTGATGTTTGAACACAAAGGGCGCATACGAGTATAAGGCAAACTTGTATAAAATAATATGTGATCCATATTCCTGCATTCATTCGTGATCTAGAAGAAACAATACACATATTGTTTAGAAATTTAGAGAACAAAGGAAAGGGAGTTATCATTTTAATTTCGATATCCACATAACCGTAGACTATGATTATTCTGAAGACTTAACAATCACTTTAATCAATCTAAAAATTTCACTTATAATTGAAGAGCTTTTAGGCCACTCACATTAATAAAAAAAAAATTCTTATATGCGCCGTCTTATAGACAAAGAATGGAAGCTATTCTGGGGAAGGTAATATATAGGAAAAAATATTTTGAAGTTGCTGGAGTAATATGAGATGTAAAAGATAAATAGTACACAAGAACACTGAGATTTTATTTACTAGCGTTTAAGGTCTTTTATTATTTTCCTATGTACTAAATTTTTTTGTACCTTTGGTTTCAGTTCGTTACTTTTGAACGCATTCACTTCATAAGTGTACAAATTAGAAGCTTAACAAAAAAGAGTGACGAAGATTGGAAAAACATTTAAATGTACTGTCATTTTTTGTTGTTAAGATTTAATGCTTTTACTGTCATTATCAACTTAAGTTAGATTAATTCTGAAGTCGCCGAAACTATAGAGCTACTCATAGCGATATGAAGTTTAAGCGTTATACCGCTATAGAAAAAAAAGTTTAAATTTCTTATAAAGCATACTTAACTGAAGCGGATGATAGTAGCGTACACAATGAAATAATAACCTGAGCAGCGTCGAAATTTATATTTCCATCTTTTTTTATTTATCTAAATAAACACAGGCAATGAAATATAAACAAGGAACCGTCTTAACTAGCTGCATTTGCAGGATTTTACATTTGAAAAGGGAAATAGAATCTTCAGATGCAGAGTTGAGTATAACGAAGAATAAGAAATGCATACCTACTTCAAAAAATAAAAGAAACTCCAAAATGTTCTAATTAAATAATTGAAAACGAAGCTACTGGACTTATGTATTGACAAAAAAATTTACGAAAAGCAACTTTAAAAAAAATTCTTGAAATCCTGACAGCAGAGAGCGATGTTTTGGGTTATACAGGGTGTTTCATAGATCATGGGACAAACTTGAAGGGGTGGTGGAGCGTACTAAAACATGCATTTTTTATAGGAATGTTTTTTATAGGAGTCTAAAGTGACGGGATAAGGCAGGAACACAAAAAAAAAAAAAAACGACAAGAGAGGAAAATGTGTTTATGTACAAAATCAACGCAAATTGCTTCTTTGTAGCAATACCATATTCACAAATAAATGTTCAAAATTGAGACCACCAGCAGTAATGCATGCTTGGTAATGTCGCAGAAGTGATTGACGAACATTTTGAAAAATGATTTCGCGCAGGCTAGCAGTCGCAATAGATAGTCGTGCAACGAGGTCCTCCTGTGAGTCAACGGGAGTCTCGTAAATGATGCTCTTCAAATGGCCCCATAAAATAAATCCAAGTTGGATAAATCTGGCGAACAGGGTGGCCATCGAACGGGTCCACCACGTCCAATCCGCCGGCCCGGAAATGTCCCGTCTAAGTAATTGCGGACCCAACATGGTAATGGGCTGGTCACCATCATGCTGGAACCACATGCGATCACGAACGACAGCCGGAACATCCTGCAGCAATTCCGGTAGGACCTCTTGCAGAAAGATATGATAACATAATCCATTTGTACGTGCAGGTAAGAGGTATGGGCCTATGGAGGTAGTCGTTAACAATACCCGCCCACACATTCACGGAGAAGCGAGTTTGGAATGCATGTGGACGTGTGCCGTGGGGATTATGAGTTGCTCACACGTGCATGTTGTGGCTATTGAAGATGCCGTCCTGTGAGAAAGTTGCCTCTTCCGTGAATACTACATCCGATGGGAAATCCGCCTGCGCCGCACACTGCTGCAAGAACCAATAACAGAAATAAACTCGAAAAGGGTAATCTGTCTCCTGCAAGGCTTGGACTCTCTGCAAATGGTATGGGTGCAAACCATTTTCATGCAATACTCTCCAAACGGTGGAATGACTCAGCTGCAGATGACGTGCAATAGCTCTTGTACTTGTCTGAGGTGATTCATGCACAATGTTCAAGATGGATTCTTCAATGCAAGGTTGTCGTGCACTTCTTCTTCCACTCCTAGTGTCAGAGGTGGCTTCAAATGACCCTTTACACACAGAGATCGATGCAAACTCTCGAACATTGTGTGCTTCGGCATACGCCTGTTCGGAAACCGTTCCTGGTAACAACCGTAGCGCTGCTCTGCCGTTCCCATTAGCAGCACCATACATGAGATGCATGTCAGCTTTTTCCCTGTGCATAAACTCACCTATCACGCTCGTCATCAGAGTTGCGAATGATCCTCTGACGCATCGGATCGTGGTTTGTCCGACTAACTACCGCCCTATACCGCTGCATTGCCAGTCAATCACAGCTGTAGTTCCTATTACTGTTAGTGTTCCCCTTTTTTGAACATTTATTGTGAATACTGTATTGCTGCAGGATTATGTACCAGTATTGTCCTACTCACAGTGCACTATGTATCCTGTATGTATCACAGTGCACTATGTATCCTGTATGCACTATGTATCCTGTAGTTTATTTGTATAGCGCATTATGCAGCTCCAAAAGATATGTATCATGTATAGTATATATTAATTAGTTTTAAGTAATCCCACGTATCATGTAACACTATTGTCCTACGCACAAAGTACTATGTATTCTGTATGTATGTTGTTTATCTGTATTATCTGCATTATGTACTTGCAATCTGTATTATGTACACCATGTAATCTGCATGTATTTAATTTTCTCTTTTGTACTATGCATTTCGCATAAACTATGTACTTGCATACTGCACAACCTTTAACATAAGTAACCCGTACTATATGCATATCAATTTGTTACATATCACTTAAACGCATTCCCGTATTGCATTATGCACAGCGCATTATGTATATTGAATTTTTAATGGTCTTTGTTTATATGTGATATTTTTTTTTCTCTTTGTGTTTATTTATTTATTTATTTTGTGTGTGTAATTTGTGCATTATGTGTTCCATGTCATATTTTTAATTAATTTGAATGTGTATATTAATGTGTTTTATGTAACGGCTGTTTGTAATTTTTATATATAACATATGTACTACGTTCCCACACAATGTCTTACATCAGTTATAGCCCCTGTATGCCATGTAACAAATTTATTTAAGATCCAAATGAATTCCCGGTGCAGCCTCCTGGAGCTCCAGGGAGTTGATGTTTCTAGATAGTGGAGGGCGCGGGACATACGCCCGTTTACCTATGTTAAACACCAGGACTCCCCGTCCTCCGTAACCTGTAACCTGACGCCTATTCTATGCTCACTGGATCTGTCTACAACTTGAGCGAACAATATTGGCTCAAAAAAACCGGTATGGACAGCCATCACAACTTATCGGAGAAAGCCATTCTGTGATCCTCAGTTGGTGGGCGGGTGAGTCTATTTGACTTTACTGAAAGGGGACAAGGCTTCAAGGAGCTTTAGACCAATCGCAGTACAGACGTGTTACGAAATTTATAGCGCGCGCTGGCTGAAGTTCTAGGAATATTCTCCCATTATCCTCCTCACACGCTGCATTTATAATTCAAAAAAAATTGCACAAAACAGTATTATGACCAACACGTAGCAGAATATGCTGCTGTGTTATGTGAAGGAAAATCCCGTTTTTTAAGGGGAAAGTTAACGCAGGAATTAACGCAGAGCTAAGAAATAAAGAGTGATATCGGATACCACGAAAGCAATGGTAAATAGATAAGAGTAGATGAATTAAGCTTACTTCAAATCCTTTTAGAAATAAACAATTTTAATCATTTAAATTTATAATATGATTAATTTGCATTACAATCTAATAGCAAACTAAGGGGTAGTTTTTTTTTTTTTTTTTTTTTTTCGCTATTCTTACATTAAACCTGTTTTCTCGCAATTTATTTTACAGTTACTATTGAAAAAATATTTCTTTAAATAAGAAATTAGAAAGAAAATATTTCTTTCTTAATTTTTCTTCCTTTTTTTTATTTTCTTTTTCTATGAAAATTATTTCTTTCAGGAAAGGAAATATGGCCGATTGCTGCTGCATTCAACTATCACACATGCATCAAAATGCTTTATTTTAAATAATTTATTCTATAATTAACATGAAAGAAAATATTTTTTCAATATAAAATATATAACCAAAATTAAACTAATGTATCCTGTATGTGTGATTAATTCGTTTTGCAATTTTTGTCACACAATTACTAATACCTTTTTTTTTTTTAATATTACATTGCTGTTATTTAAATTTTATATATATAATATATATATAAGAACTTCTCAGTTTAAATATTCTTCCTTCTCAAAAGATTTTATTCTGTGAAAATAATTAAAAGATAGTAATATTTTCACAATACAAATACTAAAGTAAAAATAATCAGTGTAGGTCTCCTGCAGTTGAAGTCCTTGTCAAACCAGCGTTTCGACACATTTTAAATAGAAAACTAATAACAATCAATATCTCTTTTACAATGTAAAAATAAGAATGCTATGAACAGTATTTTTTTTTTTTTAAAGTTTGTAAAGAAACAATGATTTTTTAATACTATAATAGGTTACAAAAGTACTATTCCATGAACAAACCCTCAGTCTTATAGCATTGTTACTTTATAGCATAATACCATAATAATGCACTATAATTCTGCAAACAAGCCCACCAGCCGCCGTAGTTTGGTCCGAGGTTCGAATCCCGCGAACGAGCTGGCCGGCGCTTTCGAGGCTTTCCCCATGTGTAACGTGTATATAAGCCAGTTTTCCTTATAAAGTCCTCACTTAGAAACCAGTTTTAAAATTACACACACACACACACACACACAAAAAAAAAAAAAAAAAAAAAAAAAAAAAAAATCTGAAACCCTTCAGATTTTATATTACTCCCAAGGGCCATTTTTTAACGTTTTGCGTGTTACCTTTATTTATTAAATATCATGTTCTTCGCCCTTAAACCATAAAATTCAATTCAACATTCAATATCATATAATTTAAAAAAAGCATATCTTTAGAATTTCCGATACATAGTTTCGCGCGCTAGAGATGAGAATGTTTTCTTCCTCTTTTTTTTTTTTTTTTTTTTTTTTTTTTTTTTCCCTCGTACAATGTTGCCATTGCTCGCTTTGAAATCGTTGGGTTTCTTAATCAAAAACTCATAAATGTTTTACAAAATATGAAATAGATAATAAAACAAATTCCCAGTTCCAAATTTGGACCTCCAGAAGCCTATGTTAGGATGGAGGATTACGTTATTCAGAATTTCATGGATCTAGGTACCGTTCTTTTATCACAGTGCGAGAAATATTCATACATTCTGCAGATTCCTCATTATTTAATTTCTTTAAATATAATAGAATGCGATAATACTTGGTGGCAACGATTTGAAAAGTGAAACGCCACAAAATGGCAAAACGAAATTAATAGGCCCTCTGGGCTAAAACTTATTTTTAAATGTATCACACTAGTAGTAGTACAGCTACTCAAAAAATATTATAAAGCTATTTTATAGTTTTATAAATTTTTTTTATTTATTTTTATTTTACAGTAGTGTGAATTTCGCGTAATAATGAACGATATTCCTTTTTGTGCACAGTATTATTTGTAAGGTATTCAACTGTTAGATTTTAAAGTAAACGTAATTCTTGCTATACATAAATCGAGTAGAAGCTTATCGGATGTCTATATTTGTATTAAATGAAGAAGGTTTATGTGCTTGATAAACTTATTATCTTCTACATTTTTAAATCATACAGTTACAATTTATACCTATAATTTCAGGAATAGTATAACTTTCTTTCAGAAGAAATTGCGTTCTTGTTTTCTGAATGTGACTCCAAATACTCTTTCAGTTCATCGCAAATTAAAATAACTATAATTTTGGCAATCTGAAATATGCAATGAAAACATCTTTGGGCAGAGCAAAAACATCAACATATTTTCTATAAATTCGCCACCCATTCAGAGATCTACGACCGTATTCTTCGTTTAAATATGAAAAAATCAGCGGCGAAAACACATACAAAGCCATTGTCTACTTAGTACGTCAACTGCACAACCCTGATTGACGACGCGGCAACACTTTTTCACGCGCTTTCGACAACTTCCGTACTCAGAGAATATAGGATGTCGAGCAGACCTGTTTTTTACTAGCAGCGACATCTGGCGGCCCACAACTTGCTGTCGACTCTCGTAGCGTAGAATAACCGTCCTGTATTGCTGCAAAGAAGCACTTTGCGTTGATTTTATACATAAACACATTTTCCTCTCGTGTCTTTTTTTGCGTTCCTGCCTTACCCGTCACTTTAGACCCTACATTTCTATACAAAAATTGCATGTTTTAGTACGCTCCACCAACCCCTTCAAGTTTGTCCCATGATCTATGAAGCACCCTGTATAATTTGGCTTAACCAGACATGCCGCACTCATCGGGACATCCTGGAGACTTTAAAAGTAAATATAGGAAGTAAAAATACACGAATATACGAGATGTAAAAATATGCAGCCTCGGGAAAAAGTAGACCTGGAAACTGAAATATACCCTCTGTTACACTCACTTGCTGCCAATCTAAATACTTAGAGTAGTTTTAATATTGTCTAGATGTTTCCCCCCAAAAAAACTGATAGCATGTGCCTAATGAATTTAGATGTTTTAGTTTTTCATCCAGATATTTTTTCACAACATTTGTAATAGTATGTAGCCTATGAGATCCCGATATTTGTATTTCATGTTTTAGATATTTTGCTTCAACTAGACTTAGCAATAGTGGAACTCAAATTGGTCATATCATCGTTGCGTATGTCCTACCTCAGTTGAGTTCATTTGTGCAAGTGAGTGCGAGTAGGCATTTGCCATTATTTTGTATTATAAAATAAATTAATTTAATCTCTAAAAGGCCAAAAAGAAACTGAGTATTTATTGATGACTTAAGAAATAATTATCCCTTTTTGAAAAAAGTTTTAATGGTATTGATCAAGTGAAATGAGAAATCTGTTTTTCATAATTTTCATTACCTCATAGTGGGCGTTTCGACATTAAAAATTACTTGAAATGTGCCAAACATAAGGCAAGCCTAGTAGCAGCGGCAGGAACTCCCTCAAATATGTTGTCAGAGTTTGAAGTTACCAATTTAAGTGTCAAATAATTTGTAATAATAACTAATGATCAACTTTTATATTTCATTGACTGAGCTTTAAGTCAGCCGATTGTTTATCTAACTAGATTTCGAATCTCTTGGAAAAAATTATCTATGGGTTGAGTTCATAAAGAAAAAATACTCCTACCTATAAAATTTCCATTACCGACGTAGAGTGGACTACGCGTTACTTTTAGGCCGACCTATGCAATTAGTATTTTCAAAATTTATTATTCTTTGTTCTTAGAGAGAATTTAATTATTATTTTAAATATTAATTAGTATAATTATATGTATATGATTTCTCTGGCTTTTATACAAATTCAAAAACAAGCATACTTTTGGAATTGTGCCATTAGATGATGAAACTGTCATAAATTCTGGTACTCGGAGAGGTATTTCTCCAGTGTTCAGGAACTTTAACAAACATTTAGGGAAAATCATTGAAAGAGGATCGCTTTGGCGTTCCAAGAGGTATCTTCGTGTATAACGTATCTTCAAATCTTTCCTGTTCCTCCAACTTAAACAGAAATCCTTCAATGGCTTTTTATTAGATGGTGGCTGGAAAAAGAAGTATGCATATTAAAATTTCCTGATATCATTTCATACCAATATCATCACACATCTTAAAAAAATATTTTAAAATAAGCATTGTTCAAAGCTTTTTTTTTTTTGGGGGGGGGGTTGCTTGTAATGTGACAAGTTGCCACATTAGAAAACTAAAGCACCCTCGGAAACTTCACCCACAACCACATGGCCATCAAGACAGTTAGCCGGCAGGACATTCAGGATGCGTTCAGATGAGCGTTTCACGTCCATAATCTGAACTTTGCTATGCAATCAGACCTTGCTGTGATCTGGAAACAGGTATAAAATTTTATGTTAACTTTTCTACTTTAAAGTAAGAGGTATAAGAATTGACCAGTTACAACGAAGTAAACACGAACTCACATATTGATGATAAATTTCGCTTGCACATTCAGGCACGTGTAAATTTATCTCTCCCGACTGGCAATGGTTTAGGCCCTATTCTATAGGTGAAAACCCGAAGTTAAATTATTTTTACGCTTTATGACTATAACAACTATGATAGCTAAACCCCCGTCTGAAAGCTTTCTTATCACATGCATCCATTTAGCCGATAGTATGTTTGGCTAACATCCCGTACATTTTGATTAGATCATGGGTAAACATTTTAATAAAAACTACCCATACTTATCCGACCAGAGTCTACTTCTAAGGTACACATTGAGGAAGGTTATGGATAAATACTACATTTTGATCTTTATTTAGTGCTAAAATAGTAAAAATAATTCATGGCATGCGTTTGCAACTAATGAAACAGATTTAAAAAATAATATAATAAATAATATGGCTTACAAATAAAAAAATAACAGATTAAGAAGAAATGTATCAAGCCATGTCAAAAGATACATTTCTTGGTGATGCATACGTTCCGCTAGCCACATTCAGATGGCTGAAATGGTTTTGCAGGTCGTTTAAAAGGCTTGTCAATTGCGCGTTCTCTCAGTTAAATAGTTATTTTATTAGATTATGGGAAAGCACGCTAGGGCTATCTGCCTAAGGGGAAGGATGCCTTCGTGGGACTTTCTAACGTAAACTGCGTTGTATACGCGTTACATAAGGGACATCGGAAACCTCAAAAACGCTTTGGCAGCCAATCCATTCTTTTATAATCGAATTCCTAGTTTCCAGCGACTTTACCGCTCGCCGGCTGATGGGCCTTCTCGGCTAAACAGATGCATCGGTTAAATGTTCTGTTGGCAAACAGCTGTCAGCTGTGTGTCTTGGACTCAACTAAAGTACTGTTTAGATCATCTTCAAGGACAAGATCAAATAATCGGAAGCAGAATAGAATGTTCTTTTGCTGTTACTTAAACATATGGACCTAAAATTACAGAACTGATCACAAACGAGATAATTGTGATCAGTTATGTAAATCTGTTTAAGAATCAATCACATCTGTTTTAAAAAATTCACAAGACGAGTGTTAACTTGCTATTTACAATTATTTTATTACAAGTTCTTACTCCCTACCTTATTATATGAATTCAGATGCGTGGATTGAAATGCTTTTTAAGCATTTTTAGAATTTAAATATTGCTGATAGAATAGGCTGATAGAGTTTTCAATACTTACGCAAAATGAGCAGAAAGAAATATACATTTTATTAAAATATTAATCACAGACGACAGAAAAACAAACAGCTATAAATAGCTGAAAAAAAATAGCAGATATAAGGCAAATCTCTTAAACACATAAAAATTTCTCAGATCACTAATGTCGTTCACAGAGTAAACTTTAAAACATTAATCACTCAGGTAATAGACCAATATAATCGTACAATTCTGAATTAAACTGACTTCCGTAAACCAAACACTGCCATATATTTACGGTTGCCCAGCCGTTTTGAAGTTTCACTGCAGCACTAGCAAGAACTGTCTTCATACAAACTAAGAAGCAAACAGTTTAATTACCAAAACAAAATCCAGAAGAGCAGTCTAACAGTCTTAGGAAAAAAATCCAGAACACTCTAACCCCCCAAAGGCATTACTGGCCATTGGAACCAGTAAAGCCAATGTGTTTCTTACGTTGCCAATGGTCTTTGGAACATAAGAAAAAAGAGACATCGGAGAGTTCAAGAATGTCATAGAAAAGTGAAAGGTAATGCAAATGTTCATAGACGTGGACATACAACTATGTTCTCTAACACTGAAGGGTAATTGCTACAGATTACATGTACATGTGAGAGATAACTATGTGAATTAGATTCTAGAAATGTGTGTTTACGAATTCATGTGTTTACGATAACTAGATTCTAGAAAGAGAATCTAAGACGCTTCGGTGCACCATTAGGAAGAGCAGGTTTCCTGCAAATTAATTATGTAGGGTTTCATTTAATTTTGCTAATAATTATTTTAATTTGTTAGCCTTTTCTGTCTTCTCTTATTCCCCTCGCTTTTCCTTGCCAGAATATAAATTCTGGGTGTACTTAAACTTAACGAGTGTACTTTAACTGATGTAGCGAAAGGATTAGTCAGAACGTGGTTTCTCTATTGTGAAAGCACGATATTAATTCTTCCGCCAGTTAACCTTGAATATCGGCTTCGGATTCTTGCCGCCGAATTATTATCCTGTTTGCTTAGGTTCTGAGTCAACCGGTGTCCTGAGACAATACAGGTTCTGAGTCATTAAACTGAACTACTTTTTAAATTTAGATTATCTTATTATTTACATTATTTGTTAAGTTTCTCACTGCAAATTGGTCGGTAATTGTTAGCAGGTAAATCCGTGCTGTCTGTAAAATATAGTGTTCAATAAAAGTTCAATAGTGTTCAACACCCTTCTCATGTTGTGTTAATCTTTAAGTCTTTGCGAGAAGTCGCAACATTAGCATTTAAGTAGATGTATATATTGCATGACAGCGAAGAGAACTAAATCCCACAAGCAAACAAACAGTTTAGTTTCCCAACCAGCGGAAACAATTTATAATACAACTTATAATAGTCTGAACCTAGACTGGAAACCTAGAGATGCAAGCTAAGAAATTGAAACATCGGAAGGTTAAAGAACGTCATGGGAAAGCGAAAGAAAGAGCAAATAGGTACAGTCGTGGACACATAGCCATGTGGCTATAATATTAAAGAATAGTTGCTACAGATTGCAAGTGAACTATATACTGTAAGAATTGTAACAGAAAAAAAAAAGCTATTAAATTTACATAATTGTACAATATCAATAGTGAATACGTATGCAGATAAGAGGTTTATGGTAAGTTCACATTATAGTCAAACAGAATATATTACACGTGTACAAAATTATGCAGAACTTACTTGCCTGAAAAAAATCGCTACCAGGATCGCAAAAATGCACTTTTCGAAAACTTAAGGTTTGCCGCGAAGCGCACAAAAAATCACCAAACATCGACTATCTTGTCCATAAAAATTCTCGCCAAGGCCCATCAAGAGAATTTCTGCCTACATCTTGGCCTCCAATTGAGTTATTATCACAATTCAAATATCGATCGTTTCGGAACTCTAAATTTTATAGCTTTCTGAACGAACAAGATATTTACAAATATAATACGCGGCCACAGATTCTACCAAACGAAAATGCCCGCCGAAACTATCAGGCAAACAAATAAAAGCAATATATACCACAACACCAAAAATATAGTCAAAATTTTAATAATAATAAACACAAATGTTTACATAAATTTATAACATCATGTAACAGGAATCTTAGTATCACTGAAAGATTTTTATGGTACATAGTGAAAATTTTATTTGAATACACTTATTTATATCTGCATCAATGAAGGAAACTGTCAAAAAAGGGAGGAAGAAATTTATGTGCGAATGCAGAATGTGAAATTTCAAAGCTATGGTATTTGTCTTTCGCTTTCCCTGGAAATTTTTGAAAATATTTTTACGAATTTCCATACTGTTCGTTTTCGATTGGTTTCACCTGTTAATCGAATTAGGGAACCCACAATATTATTCTAATGTGTGTTATGGATAAGGAGCAGTATTATCGCATTATAATATACACAAAAGCTATAGATTCTGATATTATTCTGCATGATAAAGCATGAAAGTATGGTGAACTCATGCATACTTAATTTGACGTACACATAATACAGAGTATTACAATATTGAAAATGACACTTACTGTAATGTTTTGAGAGCCAGCTCCTAAAGTTTGTTTTCTCCACGTTTCGTCATCTATGTTTTCATTGTTTTCTTCACTAAGTTCTTTTGCTATGAAAATAAAATAAAAGAGTATAATTTCAATATGTATTTTTCTGTTTTGTTTTTCCTATCGCCCAATTTTCAAAACGAAATATTCAATTATTTCTCATAAAAAGTTTTCAAAAATTATATCAAGAAGGGTAATGCTAGTAATCAGTTGATAGCTTCATGTAGTTTCTTTTAATAAATTAGTACTGAAGGGGAAAAAAAAAAAAAAGAAAAAATGCTATTTTACAGATAAAACAACATCGAGATTAAAGAAAGATTATGCAACGAAATTCACGATATCATGTGAAACATGCTTTTCAGTATAAATATCTGTATCCTTGACATGGGTACAGCCAGGATCTGAGCAAGGGGGGGTGAATAAAGAACTTCAGAAGAAATTAAATTGAACTGGAATGCACCCGCCAGTGATCGAATGAAGAGACAGCTGAGCACTATTAATCCGGCTGAGGAATTCGAATCGCGACGAACTACTTGTGTGCAAGAGTACTTTCTTGATTTTTCGCAAATAAGTAAGATAGATGTAAGAAGTATGTAGGATGAATTCGAGATGACATGTAAAATGAATACAAGACAATTTCTGTTATAAAATCTTTCACGAAGACATCACTTACCGTAATGAAATAATCATATATGTTTGGTCCTAATCTAATACATGAATTAATAAGCAATGGACTCGAATACGTGATTAAGCAGAGTGTTGAAGTTTACGGGGATTAGTAATAAAGAAATTCCTCTTTGGGAACAAACAGATGCTTGAAACCTTTCTTTTCGTCTTTTAACTTGCGCTACAATATTTTTAATACTATCCGCGCTAACTCTCTCTAGAGCTTCCTGCTTATTTCGATTCTCTTTTTTTTTTTTTTAACTAGCTTTCCATTTACACTCAAGATATATGCAGTCATTCAAACGATCATCAGTCACTGTTGAATGCAACCAAATTTTTATTCTGTTTAAGGCACTTAATAGTACTACTCATAGTACATGATTCAGACAAAGAAATAAGAACATGTTTTGTTTGAGAAGAAAAAAGTCATTGTCGCATTGTTACGATGTCTTCCAATGTTAGCTCTTTCATTTTTTCCTTCTTCATCTACAGTATCCAGAAATTATTCTAAAGCTCTCCGTTACTCTCAAAATTTTTCATAGCATAAAAATCACATTGCTAAACTTTCCCTCTGGCATCTTTTATAAAGATTATATACCAATAAAAGTAAAAAATGCTGATAAACTCCCATTCTTTGCCCCTCTAATGATATGAAGAAGAACTTGGAGAGACTGTCACACAATCAGAGGTACCCAAGCCAGGAACCAGTGGTCCATTTGACCGCTCTCTAGGCAATTTAAGCAGACAATTCAACACTTAGAGATTTAAAAGGAGTGGCAATAAACCGATCTTAAAGTGCTGGCACTACAATGATAAACGCCAAGTACAAAGCAACTGCAGAACATCCCAAGACACAGAAGACACAGCCACAGACCACCTCCAGCAAGTAGAAGGAAACGGATGTTACTAGATATACAAAAGCCCCATTTTATAGCGCTTTAGCTATCTGCAATAAGTGGCGGAAATAATAGAGTATTTATCATGGGACATATAAATGGAGTTCCTTGCAATATGATCATCGATACAGGAGTCAATGTTATCACCATCCGAAAAGATCTGCCGCCCTGCGTTACCCTCCAGACTGCGTCTGGTGATCAATTAAACATTGATGGAAAGCAAAACTTTAACATCACGCTTGGAAGTGCCGACAACTATCACACGGCATATGTAGCATATATTACATACACCTGAATACTCGGATTACGTTTTTTCAGGAAATACAAATTTTCCTTGGACTTTTAGGATAATGAAGTGCATTCTGTCTCTAAGGGAATAACCCTGTTTGGAATTAAAGATGAAGACGTTAAATCCGTGCACCAAATTATATCTCAATACGATATCACAGTACCACCAAAAACGGAAATTTTACTACTTGTGTCCATAACTGAAAACAGAAATTTCCAGTACGGTATAATAGAATATCCTAGGAAATGTAACGCCTCGCGAGGAGTACCAGCAGCCTCGGTGCTAGTACTGTAGTACGACTTATCGAAGATAATTATCCCGGTAAGAGTTGTCAATGTTAGTGATAAAGCGAAAATTATTACGAAAGCTAAAGCAATTGTACCATGTACTACAGTGAACAGCGTTAAACGAAACAGTAATCCTCCAGAATTCGAGTCTTCGGAGAGCCTAAAGTCGCAGTTATTGCAGAATGTACAAGTAGGATCAAGGATCATTCAAGACGTCTACCGATTGCTAAAGAGGAAGAGGTGAGAAACCTTCTAAAGGATATGAAACAAGCGAAGTTATCGAGCCTTTAGCAGGTCTGTTCAACTAGATTTTCCGTTGATAATAGCCAAATGAATGACATCTCCAAGAACGACAGCTCCATCCCCAATGGACGACATTCTGGATACTCTTTCAGGATACGCAAGTGGTTTCAGAAGTTTTATCTAAGCACTAGTTATCGGGAGATTAAGATATACCCTGAAGACCAAGGAAAGACGGCATTCACACTAGACAAGGCCATTGGAAGTTAAAGGTTATGTCATTTGGATTATGCAACATTCGACCACCTTACGAAGACCGTGCTCAGAGGTCTTTCCTACGAAGCCTTTCTGATATACCTAAACGACATCATCATCGCAAGAAAAAATTTCGAAGAACAGTTTGAAAACATTAGGAAGGTGCTTCCTAAATTAAAGGAAACCAATCTAAAATCATGCCAAATGTAAATTCGTCAGACAGGAAGTGACTTACCTCGGACATGTCTTCTCTATCGAAGGTCTGTGCATGGATCCAGAAAACGTTCCAACAGTTAAAGACTGGAGACACCCCAAAAATTTTCATCAGCTGAGAAGTTTCCTGGGGCGTTTCATTGTGAAGGACTTTTCTTCCATCGCAAGACCCTTTCTTAAGACCTTAGAGATCAAGCAAAAGTTCTTGTGGACAAAAGAATGTGAGGTTGCATTTAACAAACTGAAGAAGGCTTTAATATCTGCTCCAATTTTGAAATATCCTCAGGTGGACAAACTATTTATTCTTGACAAAGATGCGAGCAATGTGTATCGGTGCTGTTTTGTCCTAAGAAATTAACGGTGAAGAAAGTGTAAGAACATACTGGAGCATGTGTTTAATCTAAACCGGACAGGAATTACTGTGTCACAAGAAAAGAGTTGTTCGCCATAGTCAAAGCCATAGAATATCCCCACCACTATCTTCTACGGCAGAAAATTCCTACTCCGCACAGAACATGCATCGTTGACCTGACTAATAAATTTCAAGAATCCCGAAGGCCAAATAGCCAGACGGATACAGAGACTCCAGGATTATAACATAACTAATTATCTTAGGAAACGATCCTCACTCTGAAATGCCAAAACCCTGTCAAGAAGATCCTGACCAGAAAGCTACCGATATTGTTTCAAGTTCGAAGCAAATTACGAGCTGGTTCATCCGGTCGCACATCAAATTACAGCATCAAGATTGTCTAACCCATACCTATGGAGAGACGAAGAAATTAGGAAAGACCATTCCGAAGACAGCCACATTTAAAACCACAATTGAATGAAATGTTCAAATAGGAAACCTACCTGGCAGGACATTTTGACCTATAGTCCTAAGACAGAACAACGGGCTCTCTGCGACTCTTTCCGTATTCAAAACGGAGTCTTGTACCGGAAAATCGAATCGTATGATAGAAAGGGATTCCGATGCCAGCTGATAATTCCAAACAATTTATTTCTTCACCATTTAGATCCTTTGTCCCGGAAGTGCTTTAAGAACTATATAGCAGTCCTACAGCTCTACCCGACGAGACGGCTCCTGACCTAAGCTGTCCTGTAGGACAACGAACAGGATGATGCCATCCCACGGAAGGAAGAAACCACTATCAGCGTACCACAGCGAAGGGCCTGGTGGCGGATCAGATGTGGTAAATTGAATGATAATCATAAGAAAATTAAAGTTTTTGTTATGAAGACTGTTGTGCCTTGTGCAGTACAATCGTACCTTCGTACGATTAGAAAACGAAAAATGATTTGGGATGAAAAGTCTTGAAAGGAAAATGTAAAAAGCACTGATATGAAAGTTAGGCATGGTTATTGGAAATTGGACTTTGAGATTTAAAGAACTAGCATATACACCTCAACCAAAGAGCACATAATTTGTGAATAAACATATTTTGAAAAAAGTTTCAAAAAGAAACTAATAGTAAAGAGAAGCTATTTTAACATATCTAGCAAAGTTACAGAACTCTGATGTTAAAAATAGAATAATAATAATAATAAAAATAATTTTAAAAAACGTAAAGTACAATGCTATTGTTTAACAGTTCAAAAGAAACAAATTGACCATTAAAGAGAAGAATAGACTCTACATATGGCTATGGGGAAACAGTAATGTGTGAAACTGCAGTGTGAAATTATTTTGTCTAGTTGGCTGAGGCTTGTTTTATATTTTATTAAATTATTGAACACTGTGGACAAAATTGTTCGGATGGAGCTTTTAGAACATCTTGCGCATGAAGAATACAATTGAAAACGATATGATCGGGATCGGCACTATTTCCACACTCAACAAAGATTATCTGAGTTTAATCCAAAGCGATGAAGGTAGCTCTTGAAAGGTGGTGTATTTAATTATGGCAAAACACACTAGGGCTATCTGCCTAAGGGGAGGGATACCTTTCGTGGAGGACTTTCTAAGGGAAACTGGCTCGTATACACGTTACACATGGGGAAAACCACGTAAACACCCATGCAGCCAGCCCGTTCGCGGGATTCGAACCTCGGACCGAACTACCAGTGTTCAGCGACATTACCGCTCGGCCGCTGGTGGGCTAACTCTTGAAAGGGCCATGTCCTGTGGCAAATCAGGTAACTGAGGAAGAGATTGAATATAATTTTGATGAGACTTTAAGGAATAAATTTATATGTTCTTCGACCAGTTGTGCCAGGAATCGATTCTTGTTGCCACGTTTTCAAAAGAATTTTCCATGTAAATTTTTTAACATAAGAAGAAGGAAGAGGATAAACATAGACAGCAGGACGTTCTACTGCTTGAGCTGCCGCTTTGGCTTAGAATTATTTTGAAACAAGCAGAGACCACTTCCTGTTCCTGAAGACATTTGTGAACCAACCATCTGTGTAAATTTGAAAATCAGAATTCAAGGGATATGATGTTTTAATAAAGACGTTTTGTTGAAGATCGAACGAGGCTGGATGACAAGCATCGTTAGATTGTTGAAGTTCATAGTCGTCTGGGTGAAAGTGATGATTCCATAATTCTTGGGGCTTTTGAAGTCGAAGTACATTGGCTATTGTTGCTTCTCGCTGTACCAGGAGTGCAAGTGGAGGAAGAATCTGAAGAACAGCTGTTGAAGTAGTACGATAAGCTTTTCTAATTATTAAAAGATATGGCCGTTGTAGAGCATTAAGGCGTTTAATTGCACCCTTGGTAATTACAATTTCACTCAGAAGCTAAGAAGTACCTCAGCCGATCTGCGTTTGAATTTAGATCCTGTTTATACATATAATGTACTGTTTCAAGGGTTGATAGATGCACAAACCACTCTTTTCAGCACACAGCAGCAAATATTTTTTTAGCCAGTGGAAACCAATGAATAAAACGATTAAAGCGTCGCAAAGGAGAATGGTGAGAATTCTAGAAACAATATCAGGATACGGAAGGAAATTTTAATGGAAATGTGTAGCTTTGAAAATAAAGAGGGAAGAGTGCAAGACTTCCTGATCGCGATGCCCTGTCGATATAATTCTAGCCGTCAAGCAGAAATTTTCCCTGAATACGATCCGACAACAGCGTGAGAATAAACATAAGACTCCTCTATACTAATTCACAGTAGTGATTCTCCGCGCTTGTTATATTGTCTGATAAGTGTACGGGTGCTCTGCAGTAGAAAAAACTAGCGTGGCACAGGCCCGAGATGAGTGATTTAGCTTTTTTAGGGAACGAAAAATTAACCCTCATAAATTTATTGCATTTCCTGGAAAATAAGCCTTTGACATGTGGGTGGGTGGGTGGGGGCTTTTTTTTTTTTTTTTTTTTTTTTTTTTTTTTTTTAAAGTTTAAACCTCTGTCCAAAGTTTGTGTCCGAGGGGAAGACAGGCTTGCATTCAGAAGTTAGAATCGACTTTTAAGGCCTATTAATTATTAAAATAAAATTTGTTTGTTGAAATTGTGGTTGACTTACATAAAAGAAGTATCGCAGCCATTTTATTTAGGGCTCCGGGGCGCTCCTGCTAAAATTATGATTCATCTCAAAAACTGAGAAGTATCGGAGCCGGGCTCCCCTGGTCTCCGGCGCAATTTAAGCTCTGGCTTGAGGGAGTAAATATTCTGGGAAAGAAGGGTGGATTATATTCAATGCAGCAGCACTTCCAACCTGAATGAATTCGTGAAATTAGGAGTTAGATGTTTTCTCGCTCTGTAGTCATTTGAAGCCGTGATTTTGAAGTGAAAATCTAAGGCTTTAGTAAATCGCATTTGCTTTAGTTGGAATATAGTTGATCTAGTGCTCCTTTTAATAATAAATTTAGCTCCCGCGAAAAGAAACAAACACTATGGTGTTTTCAAATGCAAAGCCATTCGTTTTGCGAAAGAAATTGGCAATCGTGCTGCAGCAAGAATGCTTGGTGTTGGTGAAAGACGGAACGGATTATTTATGGACCAAAATAACAATGATGGTGAAGCTGTAACAAAATTCGATGATACGCCTAAAAAATATAATGGAAGACGAACATGACGAACTCTTCATGTTATCCAATAATGAAAATGTTTAATTTCATAAGGTGTGTCATTTCTTTTAAATAAGGAGCACTCTGGTGCATAAGTTTTTCGTTATTTGTAAGCTATTATTTTAATATCCGGCGTATAACGCGTACCCGTAAATTTCGGTCCTATTTTTTGTATGAAAAGGGCGCGTTATACGCCGGAATATACGGTATATATACTCATTCAGAAAAACAATGTAATGATATCAAACATTAATGAGGTGAGTATTAATATATACAATATTCAGAATAATAATATATAATGATTTTAAAGTACAGATCCAAAATTCTTTCGCGACACCAAGGTTTTGTTTAGTCCAGAGTATCATCAGCCGAAAATGGTAGAGATCATCACTCTATAGTGAGATCAAAATATGCCTTTACATTACTTTATTATTTTACATCAGTGTCTAGATAAGTGACCGTTAATAAGTATAGATTTAAAAGAGATAAAAATAAATCCCACAGCAGTTTAGGGTCAGAAACGCAATCCTAACGAGATAGGGGAATATTAGGAGCTATCGCAAGAAAACCATCGAAAGTCACGAGGTATTAGGATGGAAAATATGAATATATCGGGATCGCAAATCGATATTTAAAGACCATAAACTTGAAATAATTCATGACCTTCCCGATAATGAAGTTGTCCGAAGTTTTCTAGCTACGTGCCTGTTCTCATCATCTACACTTTTGCAACGTGCAAAAGTGGCTGTTCTGGCAACGCTGTTCGCCAGAACCGTAGTTAGGATGTAGCGTTTGTCATTTCAAATTCCGATGAATTTGTTATTTCAAGTTCCGATTAACGCGTAAATGGCGGACATGCACATTGTGTATGATGAAGTTCACTGCAACGAAAGAGCTGCGGCACGGTTGTATGCCGAACAGTATCCGAATAGACGTGCACCAAATTACCAAATGTTTGCGAATTTGCACCTTAACCTATGTGAATACGGGATATTATGCAAAAGCAAGCATGATACAGGGTGGCCACGAATGACACGTACACCTGTCTTAAAAGAGAAGTATTGCGTCGAGTGGAAGCAGCTCCAGGTCCAAGCACACGAACCATTACCCATGATACTGCAGCATCTCAATGCGTGAAATTTGCGCGCTGGTACTTGGACAAATGCAACCAGAATTCGGTATTTCCATCCAGCATTCTTTTCACGAATGAAGCCTTTTTCTGTCGTGAAGGGGTCTTCAATCAACATAATATTCACGTGTGGAACCACAACAACCCACGAACCCACATGCTGCTCAATGACGGTTTTCTGGCAGATATTATTGATGATTACGTAACTGGGCCAGTTGGTTCTACCAGTTGGTCGAAAGTATCGCATTTTTATGGAGGAAGTACTGCCACAATTACTCGATAATATTCCTACGTCTGTTCGGCTTGCATTGTGGTCCCAACACAATAGGGCTGCAGCTCATTTTGGCCGTGTCGTATGGGATAACTTGAATAATACGTTTGCACAGCAGTGGACTGAGCGTGGAAGAACCGCCCCATGTCCACAACGATCATGTAATTCCTCTAGCCTGTATTTCTTCTTGTGATGAACCCTGAAAGCCATGGCTTACGTTGAATGTAACACCTCGACGCAAAATCTCCGTGGCAGCTGCAGACGTCCGCGACATGGTGAGTATTTTTGAAAAGGTTTGAGAGTCCATGCGTTGCCATTGTGAAGCTTACATAATGATGAATGATTAGAACTTTGAGCGCGTGTTGAGGAATGAAAGTATACACGTATTGTAAATTTTCGTTGAATAATGAGTTTTTCCACCCATTATTAGCTTGTCATTCCTGCATCTTCGTTTATCCTCCAGCTGATCAGAGGTAGTAGGGAAAAAGAAAATGTTGGAATTCATCAGGATCGCAAATAATGACATAAAACTAAGTCCAGACTTTGCTGTTGATGGGTCTGCGTCGAGTATGCTTCCATTTACACCACGATGGAAAGAAGGAAGAAAATACCTTGTAGCATAAGGAAACCTTATAGCATAACCTTATACTATATATGGAATCTCAATGTTTTTGAAATGGCATATCTCCATGGCTACTCCGCATATCCGTTGGTATCCGCGTATATTTCGAAACGTTCCAGATTTCATGCGATGTACACGTTACGAAACTTCGTACAACTTCATTATCTGGAAAGTTATGACTTATTTTAAGTTTACGGTCTTTAAATTTCAATTTGCGATCACGATGTATTCATATTTTCTATACTAATACCTTCACTGTTGGTTGCCGACGGTTTTCATGCTACAGACCTTAACAACTATGATTACATTTCTGGTGCATTACTGTGGAATTGCGTGTAATCTAGGTGTTTCCTACCTACTCCTTAGAATTTTATTCTTCTAATTTTGAATTCTCCTGTACTCAAAGATTAATGGAAAGGCAGTTATTCTATATTGGCCTATTGTTTTTTAACTGCTCTGTGAATCATTTCTTATTCATAATAAGTGCCCATTTTTTTTCTAAAATAACAGACGAAACAAATGATATGGCATTATATATCAATTCTCTTTCTACGAAAGACTAAAATATCATCTCTTAATTAATTTCGTATGCATCTTTCAAATTTAAAAAAATGGCCCGATACTTAGATATTTTAATTTACATTTTTTATTCATATTCAAATAAAATGTAGCTAATAAATCGTTTAGTAATATTAAAGGAACGGGGGATAAAAATATTAAAATATCCTATAATTTAAAAGCTTACCATTTGTTTCACATCGACAGTCATGACTATAATTTTCATCCTATTACAAGAAAAAGAAAACTTATATGCTTTCCTAAAATGACGAATCATAGAATAATATTGAAACAACTATATGCTCTTCATTCTTAAAATTTCCCAGTATCCAGAACAATGTTCTTTTCCTATAAATAGTCTATTTTGTTTTATAATTTGTTTCAATCCCCCTCACATAGAAATTTAAGAAAAAAAAAATCTTATGTGTACACCACATGACTTCCTTGTACAGAATATTAAATTATATGCATTTTTTCTTGCATTTAATTTAAACTTATTGGATTGAATAAAATCTACTTCGTCGATAGCGTCATAAACCACAATAAAATAAATGCTCTCTTTAAAATATTTGTTTACCATACTATGCTATACTATTTTGTTACTATATTTATTTACCATAGTGACAATCTGGAGCTACGCTAAGTTCTCTTAACAGCATTACATTTCATTCATTATATAACTCAGAATGCACAAAATTTACATCATCTGAAGAATTATCTAATAGTTGTCACATGTTCTATTCAAATATTATAATAAATCTAAAACGCTGTATAAAAAAAATTAAACAAAAAAAAAAAAAAAAAAAAAAAAAAAAAAGAAAGAAAAAAAAAAAGAAAAGAAAAGAAAGGAAGAAACAGTTTATCACAGACGATTCAGTATTTCTCAATCAAGTAATTCATTCCTCACTTCTCTACAAGATAATAAAAATACATAAAATAAATAAAAAAATACATAAATAAATAAAAAATACATCTAAAATACATAAAAACTCAAAATATCTATATTATATTAAAAATTACGTAAAGTACGTAAAGTAAATCTTAAACACTTATTTCCTCGAATAAATTCCAGAATGGATTAAGCATGATTTAATTCGCAATAAACTAGCGTCTACATCCCAAAACGGCAGCCTATGAGATAGGCGATTCTATTATTTTCATCGGGGAGTAGGGAATTTAGAATGGTTTTCTGAGGAACGCCAGCGGCAGTGCGCGATGTTTGCTTACATTAGGAAGTTCAGAAAATTGCAAAGGTGGATTGCCTTAGTTTCTGCGGTTACTTTCAGGGAAATATTAGGCAGTTTTTTTGGTTTGTTGATAGATGGCAAATAGATAATTTACCTTTATAAATCCGCGTTTATCTATTTAAACTTCAGAAGATTTAAGATGAAGTGAATATATTTAACACAACAGAACCAAGCTTAAGACTTGTAAATCTTTTAAAAAAACAATACATCGATAATTAAAAATATTATTTATAGTTCATCACTAAAAACTTTTTATAAATGCATAGTTATCATATAATTAACAACTCATCCATGCATTATTTCATTATTTATTATAATTAAAAGAGAAGATATTTTTTACAGTAATGTTTAAAAATTTGCTGTTGTCTTTTAAAAGATTTACATGTCTTAAGATTGCGTTCTGTTGTGTTAAATATATTCTCTTCATCTTAAATCTTCTGAAGTTTAAATAGATAAAAGCGGATTATAAAGGAAAATTTTCTACTTCCCTCTATCAGCAAACCGAAAAACGCCTAATATTTCCCTGTAAGTAACCGTAAAAGAAAAAAAAAAAAAAAAAAAAAAAAAAAAAAAAAAAAAAAAAAAAAAAAAAAATAAAAAAAAAAAAAAAAAAAAAAAAAAAAAAAAAAAAAAAAAAAAAAAAAAAAAAAAAAAAAAAAAAAAAAAAAAAAAAAAAAAAAAAAAACAAAAAAAAAAAAAAAAAAAAAAAAAAAAAAATCCAGTTTAGCAATTTTTGAGCTTCCAAATGTAAGCAAACATATAGTCCACTGCCGTTGCATTCCTCAGAAAACCATTCTAACTCCCCTACTCCCCGATGAAAATAATAGAATTGCCTCTCTCATAGGCTGCCGTTTTGGGATGTAGACGCTAGTTTCGCAATAATAAATGAATACGTTATCTTTGTTGTTGCGAAACTTAGTCTCTCTAGACAGGCAACTATTCTGCTGTTTCAAATGTAAACAAGCATGTCCGCCATGTTATTTAAAAATTAGGCTTAACCGCACTTAAACAGCTTTTAAATTGTTGATAATTCTACAAATATTGCTCACAGATTTACTAAAGGCTTAAAAACCTTAAACGGAAGATAAGAATAACATAATTCAAACATTTTTAAAGCAAAAAATGCACAATTTACAAACATATTAGAGTAAAGAAACTGAGATCACTGAGCTGGGTAACACAGTGGATATATATATAAATATATTTATATACGTTTGGTGCGGCCGATTGCAACCAAAATCGAGGTGCACATCTACATGTTATAGCAGTCCTATATACAAAATTTCAACGTTCTGAGGCTACTCGTTTTTGAGTTATGCGAGATACGTACGTACATACGTTCGTACAGACGCGACGAAAAATTCTCTTCAGAATTCATTTTAAAGCAGCTTTATATATTTTTTTTTTTTTTTGGAGGAAAAGAGTCTTTTATTCGGTCTTTACGTACAGATGTCACGCAAAAACATCGTTAAATTGCATCCGATAGTGGTCAAAATGGATATTTGCGTTGAAATATGATGCCTGAAACTTTTCGCGATTACAATACTTCCTTTTTACTTCGTACAAGGAAGTGGCAAAAATGCGTAATTTTTTAGCATTTAAATTAATATACATATATATTTAAATTAATATAATTAAAGTTTAAGTTTCAAACCGCTATAAAAAAAAGAACCACTCATGAAAATGACGTCAAATTTGAAAGGAATGTTATTGAAGAAGGCGGAAAGAGTATGGCAGAAGAAAAAATTTAGTTTCAAAAGTTAGCAACAGATGGCGCTGCAAGCGAAAGAAGACTTAAATTAAAATGTTAGTTAAATTTCAGTGTTATAAAGCCACCAAGTACCAGGCTGTTCCTCATTTCGCGTCTCAGACGTTCGCCATGGGTGTTTCACTGCAGGACCGCGCTCTGCTGGTAAAGCTGTATTACAAGAATGATGATTGTCAAGAGTAGCTCTGCAAAAATTCAGGACACTGAAGGGTATAAAAGAAGGCGTTGGTCCAATGAGTGTCGTAGGTCTAAAGAAAATGATGCAAAAATTCGAAACGACAAGTTCGTTTGATATGCAATCTGGTAGAGGGAGAAAACGAGTGCATTCGACGGTAGTTGAAGAAGTGGCCACAGCATTACAGGAGGGGTCGGCCGGTGGTGTGCAACCGTGCAGTGCACGAGGAATTGTCCGAACATTGGACAGGCCTATGAGCACAGTGCTGAAAATTGTGCGAAACATTCTGCAATGCTATCCGTACAAAATTGGCCATGTGCAGGAGTTGCTTCCGTCTGACCTGACAGCTAGGGAGACGTTTGCGTTAGAATTCCTGGCTCGCATGGAAGTGGATGAATGGCCGTGGAAAATTTTGTGGACAGATGAAGCCCATTTCCATCTGACAGGATACGTGAATACCCAGAATTGTCGAATATGGGCAACAGAAAATCCACTGGCAACGCACCCCGTACCACTTCTTCCTGAAAGGGTCACGGTATGGTGTGGCTTTACGGCATCATTCATCCTACAACCATATTTTTTTCGAGCAAAACGGGTGCTTCCGGTCCTGTTCCCGCAACCGTCACTGGTCAGAGGTATGCGTCTCTTTTGTGCAACCACGTGATTCCAGGTCTGCAACAGCATGGATGTGTGGATGAAATCATTTTTATGCAAGATGGCGCTCCTCCGCACATTGCACATCCCGTGAAACAGCTGCTGAGGCGCCATTTCGGAAATGCTCGAATTATCAGCCGTCATTTCCGTACATCCTGGCCATCCCGATCGCCTGATCTTACTCCGTGTGATTTCTGGCTGTGGGAGTATCTGAAGGATGTTGTGTTCCGTGCTCCAATTGAAAATTTAGCGGAATTAAAGGCACGCATTTCGCAACACATTCTGAACATCACCCCGGAGACACTGCGATCCGTTGTGGAACATGCTGTTTGTCACTTTCAACTTGTTGCACACAACGGTGGACACCATATTGAACATGTTTTGCGCCAGTCTCGCGACAGTTCCGAACTTCTTTGATGAATGGTTCTTATGCGGTATGTCGCCGCAAAACTCTTGAAACCGATTTGTCCCTTTCGATGTGATATGTACAGTCATGCAAATAAAATTATTCAACAATTCTAATTTGTCAATGCGTTTTAATGTGTAACTTCCACCTTAGCCATTGTTTTACGAATCATTTCTCGTTTCTCGTCGTGATTCTGCCGCTTACAGCGCCATCTGTTGCTAACTTTTGAAACTAAAATTTTTCTTCTGCCATATGCTTTCCGCCTTTTTCAATAACATTCCTTTCAAATTTCACATCATTTTCATCAGTGGTTCTTTTTTTATAGCGTTTTGAAACTTGAACTTTAATTATAATCACCCTGTATATATATATATATTTCAGGGATAAATCACATTTATTATATATTATAGATAGAGCAAGCAACTTTATAGCGAGGCTATTAATAATATCTTGGATAAAATTAAACAACAGTGATGAACAAATATCTAATTTATAAGGTTCGAAGTGATTCGGGTAGCCATATCAAGTACCCTCTGCCCAATAACCGGTTTTCACGTGTATCATAAGACGCTGTTTTTGATAGTGGAATCATCTTTGCTAAGAAATTCCGTGCCTTTGCTGCAGTTGCCTATAACTACATGGTGTTAAGAACGTTGAGGATGGATCATCGAATGGCATCACATCATCTTCTGGGTGCATTTATCACGATGGACGAATTCGAGTCATTGGTGATGTAGTGCCATAAAAGTCCTATTCTTGATATTGTGATATATGGTGGCAGATAATTACACACTAGTATTTGCTTCTTTCGCGTATCAGCAAGATTATGATTAACAAGCAAAGATATTGGATTCTTGTGATGGTAGCTTATCTTTAAGTTATACATGCAGTAATTTACTAAATGGAGCAATGTGTGATTACATATTTACCAAACAGAGCAATGTGTGATTACATACTTCACGCAAAATCTAACAATACAGTGAAACCTCGGCTCATGAATTTATTCGCTATTGAAACTTGAAATGTCGAAATGTGCGTAACCGAAATATGATCAATGTAAATGTAATCAATCAAATGTAATGGGAATCAGTGTAAAGTGGATTAATTCTTCGTGGACCACAGATGATTGCTTAGTTAAACTTTGTGCTCAAGTTCCATAACACGAAAGCAGTAGAAATTGGTAAATATAAAACAAAAAGTTTAACACAATATCAAACAGATAAGACAAACGAAAACTTAAAATTTAATTTTACTGAACGTATGAAGGAGACGAGTAGCATAAGAGGAAAATGATGAAGATGTTATTATTTGGATGTTCTAAAGACAGTAATTTCGATGAAAACATCAGGTAATGTCTTAAGAACGCATCTTCTTTTATCTTTTCTTTGTCTTTCTAAGCATCACTCGACTCTGCTTGAGATTCATTTGGCTTCTGTTTCATTCAAAACCACAGATTACAAAAACTTTTTTAGAGTTCAAAACGCTTAAAGTTTCTGTCTGCAATCCAGTCTCGCCTTAATTTCCTCCATGCGGAATTCGTCATCTACTGCTAGATTTTGTTATGAGAGTTAACGGAAAACATTAAAATGATGTTTCCAGAAGTCCCTGAACATATATTGTGTGGCGTAAGGTTCAAAATATCTTTGAAAATCATATGTTGTGGACTTTAGTGTTCGTAACTCGTGACAACGTTCGTCATCCTAGGCGTTTTTTGTTCAGATATTTAATTTTTGTAAACCGAATTGTTAGTAAATTAAGATGCTCGTGATCCGAGGTTCCACTATACTTACAGATAGGCACGATGTGCTACTGTTTACCATGGTCTGGACATTCACCAGCTTTGCCGTCAAATTGGGCACATTCAATATATGATCGCACAGTGATTAGCCCGCCATACAGGAACTACACTGACTACCAATAATATTTGGAAACCTGTGATAAAAAAGAAAAACTAACTTTATTCAAAATCAATAGTTGGTAGAGCCTCCAAGAGAGGTAATTATAGCGTGGACCCTCCGGGGCATACTTTCCACAAGTCTTTGTATGACAGCTAGTGGTATTTTCTTCCACTCGGCTTGGAGAAGACATAGAAGTTCCTTCACCGATTTTGCACGGGTAGTGCACCCCTGAATTCGGCAATGCAATTCGTCCCAGAGATTCTCGATAGGGTTCAGGTCTGGACTCTGGGCAGGCCAGTCCATTCGATGAATTCCATTGGCCCCATACCAAGCCTTGGTTAACGTCGAAACATGACAACTGGCATTGTCGTCCTGAAAGTAACAGAGGTCCAACCCGTAAAACTGCCACAACGTAGGAAGCACATTGTCATCCAAAATAGTGCAGTAGGCATCGGAGTTGAGCTTACCATGAATGGGGACCAAGGGTCCCAGCCCATACCAGGAGAAACAACCCCAGACCGTAATTCCACCTCCGCCGAACTTGACTGTTGGCACAATGCATTCTGACAGGAGACGTTCTCCAGATAGGCGCCAGACCCAGACCCAGACCCTACCATCCGGTAAAGGGTGAACCTTGATTCGCCACTCCAAAGAACCCGTTTCCACTGATCTCTACGGTCCAATTTCAATGTGCTTTGCACCACATTAACCGAGCAGCGCGGTGTGACTTTGTGATCAGAGGCTTATGGGTAGCAGCACGACCATGAAAACCAAGCAGATGTGCTGCCTTAAGGATGGTATTCATTGAAACAATACTCCCGGATGCTTGTTGAAACTCCTCGCGGATGAGGGCCATCGGTTGGGTGTGGTTCTTCCGAATTTCTCTGGACAGCACTCGTTGGTCTCTATCTCCCAGTTTTGTTGGTCTCTCCGACTCGGGGAACATTCCGACAACCACCGCTCACCTTCCACTTCTTAATCACATAGGCCACTGTCGATTTTGGGTACTTCAGATTGCTAGATATGTCCCTTAAGGATAGGCCACATTTGTGATACCTGATAATTATACCTTTCTCGAAATCAGAGAGCTCCGAACTGCGAGGTATGTTGCATGCTACTAAAGCCGATGCTGTTTCCTACACGATATATACCGGCGGAGTCCGGGACGTACCTTAGGACCACAGATTTCGTCATTTGCATAGGTGTCCAAATACTTATTGGTAGTCAGTGTATTTAACTCGAGAGGCGACTGCAAATTCCTGAATGTTCGTATCCTGGAAATGGCATGGATATTTGTAAGTATATTTGTATACTGGCTGCGCGACAAGGGGACACTCAAAATCCGTGGTGAGCCGAAAGTCCCCTTGAAAGGTTGGCTGTAGAAAAAGAAGGGTGAAAGGCTATCGGATTTATTCTCCTTCGGAATTGTTATCTGGGGAAGCATAGCAGTTAAGGTTCTAGGGAAAAGCCCACAGGAATATGCTCACAGGTATAAATGCTCACAGGAAAAAAGTCCACACTGAAATATGCCCATATAAGAAAAAAGTTCACATGGAAAAATACTCACTTAGAAATATACTCACACGGAAAAAAGCTCACACAGAAGTATGCTCACATGGAAATAAGCTCACTGATAAATAATTCACATAAAAATATCCTTACATTAATGAATCAATAATTAATCGATTTGAAGATCGTACACCTACTTGAATTTTCTAAAAAAAATTATTTAAATTACCAAAACATCTGTGGTATATATTTCAAAAACTTTATAACTTATGTATAGGCTCAGTTGCTATATAAGATTAACAAATAGGCCGTTTTGAATTAAGAAAAGGAGAGGAGAAAGTGCATATGAATTATATAGTGAAAAATTATTACAATTTTAATTGTCAAAACCGCCCCAACGCCTCGTTTATTTTCTACCTAGTTCTTTCCCCTCCACGTTAGTGTATGGCTCATTGGTTCGCGAGTTGTTAAAAGACATGTCAATCATTCTTTGAAGCAAATAAAGGAGAAATACGGAAAGCTATTGACGTTCACAGGTGCAATACGGCCCTAAGGTGAAACTGCACACAATGGATGAAACCGCAGGGGGAAAGGAAAACTATTCCAAGACAAATTCGTAAACACGGGCGTTTTCGATGTTTGTTGAAAACAGATTTGGTCGTCTCTCGATGCGAAAGAGTTAAAGTGATTCGTTCAGTCGATCTTCATAAAACTTGGAAAAATGGTTCTTTTCTATATGATTGGCTTAAGTCCAAGATGCTTGGCAACTTAACTCTTTACTTGGCGACACGTTTTTATCATTTGGCAGTTTCTATATTTCGACCTGGCGACATTATTTCAGTTTAAAAAATTCATTATTACATTTAATCGACTTTTGATTACAAAATGCGATGTATTTTCCATTTTTCTGAATGCAAATGGGCAGGATCACGGAAATTCGATAACAATATACGAATAACATTAACCGAGATCACATTAAGTGCCGCGGTGCTTTAACCCTCACCATTGGCGAGGCTCGCGCCAGACCGTGAAAAGAGAAGACCATGACATTTGAAAAACATGACGGACCTTTCCATCAACTGTTGCTGTCGGAAAGGTTATCTGGATATTTTAAAGTTTCTTCCGAAATATAACTTACTATATTGCTTAATTAAGTAACACAGCAGACAGAAAATAGGTGGCCAGACTCACCCACATACACATCATATTACGTGAAGTAACAACAAGGGTATGGGTTAATGCACATTTCAGCCAACGTCGCTTACTAAAGCACTCACTTCTTGATAAATATGGCTAAATAAATAATAAATTTATGAATATGGCTTAATAAATATGTCTTCTTTTGCCCTTTTCTTTCTGGAATCGCACTTTTTAACGTTAGCGTTTATTCTTCAGCGTTTCGTATAAGAAGAGGCAAAACATAATCCAGGAAATTTTTATTTTAGAACCCGTGAATTTGAAAATTGTGAGATTTTTAGGTAGTCTTCTGTTATCGGGACCGGATTCCGAAATGTATGTATGAAAACACATGTGTATGTATATATGTGCATATGGTGTGTTTGTGTGTGTATACACAGATGCATATGCAGGTACATATAAAGTATATATACATGCATATATAAACGCTTACATTCATACATACATACATTTCTGAATCCGGTCCCCTGATAGCAGAACACTACCGATTTTTTTTTTTTTTTTTTTGCTTACTTATTAGATTAAAACCCATATAAATGGCCATTAGAGTTTGCAAAAATATACTTTTTATTAACAACAGTTAAAAAAAAACGATATTAACGTACCGTCATTTCCATATCTGTATTTTCGTTTTCTTTATTTGATGTTGTAACATTCACATTGCCATAGTTTCCATCGTAAATATCGAACGATGGTAACGCAGTAATCATTTCATTAATAGCAGTGTCAAAACAGCCGAGACCAGAAAAATCATTTTGCTCCATTGCATCCTTTACTACTTCCCGAGGCATATTTTTAACTTTTGGTTTAAGTTTTCTAAGGGACGAAGAAATTAGGAATACATATATTAAGCGTCATACTAAGGTTAAGATTTTAAAAATATAATTGTTACAATTATTAATAATCATTTTTAAAACTTTCATATTTTTATATTATATATTTAGTCAGAAATAAGCTATTTTTTGAAAAATGATAAAGAATTTTATCATTTACTTAAAAAATTACAGAAAGTAATCGAGAATCTAATATAGAAATGTGTCATTCAGTATGAGAAATCAATATTAAGCAAACTCTTGTTCATTCATTATCACCATATATTGCAAATTAAAGAAATATTTCCATTAACTTCTAAAGTGCAGAAACTATTCCTACCTTATCTCTGAACTTTTTTATTAGTAGAATAGATGAATCATATGAATATTTATGATGGAGAGCAAATACAGATTTTAATTTGCGTTGCCAGTTAACCATAACAGACTTATCCATTTTTGTAAAAACATATGCAAATGAGTCTTTCTTCTTTGCTTTTTAATTAAGTAATGTGAAACACATTTCCCAGATTTTCTATTGAACAGATTGCTCAGTGAAGGTAAAACGCACGAGCTACTTGCATGTATCTTAGCAATCATTCAAACTCACGCCTGAATTAGTCAGAATTTTGCGGCTATTATTATTGCATTCATTCAGGCCTCTTAAACGTACATTACTTTTACGTGGACTACTTACTATTTAAAATATTTTAACAGTGGGAGAAGAGTAATTAAAAAATTTCATGCGGACAACACATAAATTCCTTGTATACCTATTTAAATATACATTTTTTGCTACGCTTCATTTAAATTTATTTCCTCAAAATATTTTAACTTAACTGATCCCTCAAGGTGAGTTGAAAATGATATCAAAAACTGCAAATTTTGAAACAAAATATCTCGGTCAAGTTTGTTGCACAGGAGTCAAACTTCTTCTACATATTTTGTTTTTCATAAGTATAAAATTTTCCCAAATATAAGTATAGAAATCAGGTGACCACATTAAAGTTAGATTTCGTTATTTGTCCAAAATTAATCTTTTTTTTTTAAATTTGAAATTGGAAATTTGAATAGGAATAATATTTCGTCATTTAAAACACTTCTGTAAATGGAAGTATATGTCTACAACCAAGGATTGCGAAAATAAAGGCCGGGTAAGGGGATGGTGGATATACATACATATATATATATATATATATATATATAGTTTAATATAATCGGGGACCGCCCATTTTTAGAATATTGTTTAAATGACTATTTGGTTTAAAGCAGGGTTTCTTAGACTTTTTTCAATCGCGACCTTTTTTTATCACTGATTCTTTCGCGACCCCCAGGACCCCATAATATTTAACGAAAATTTTGTGGGACCCCATAAAGCACTGCGCAAATCCGATACACGCGTGTGTGAAACTGTCAATTTTTTTCACTTGTACTGTAATATATTATTGCAGTTTTAGGTCATTAACTTTACTTTCTAATTTTAAGACATAAAACGATGGGAAAATTTTAAATAAGTAACAGACGAAATGACAGCGCCACGTGCAAAGCCAATAAAATGGACGTTTCTATTACAAAAAGAATGCGTCGAAACGTTTTCCTTTTTTCTTTGTCTGTATTCCTTATCTTTATCTATTTTCAGATACATTGTGTAAAAATATTTGGTAATTGTAAAATTATTATAATAAGTTAAAGAAGTATCAAAACTGCTAAATATTTTGGCGACCCGCTGCTGCATGTCCTACGACCCCCTGGGGATCGCGACCCACAGTTTAAGATACGCTGGTTTAAAGTATACTTATATTGTGATCTATCTTTATATTTGATTTTGAATTACAGATTTGCATATAATGATTTTTAGACGATTTTTTTTTCCCGAATAATCATTTTACAATATGTAATGTTTTGGGTTTTTTTTTTTTTGTAGTCAGTTTGAAACAATGTTATGTTTTGTGTTTTTTTCTAAGTGTTTCGAAGGCGTATAGGGAAACTCCTGGTATATTTGAGATTCACGTTTTTCGGTTCTTATGAGTTTTTATGCAATATAATTTTTTTTTCTTTTTTCGGTTTTGGATCTCAAATTTATTGGGAGAACGAAACACGTTTTCGAAGCATAAGCATATTAATCAACTTTTATGAAGCTTTAATTCATTGTCTCCTGACGAATTAAAGTTTCAATAAAGGGAGATTAATTTTTATATTTTTATTATCTTGTACATATCTCCCCTTTTTAGTTTTCGAGTTTGTACTCCTATAATCATTTTTATTTTGAAGTGTTTTGATTTTATGTTTAACCCCTTTACAAGGATGCAGTTATTAATATTGTTGAGGAATCGCCTTGCTTTGACTCCAATTTACATTTAACTTTAGATGCTTTAAACTTATTTACTTCAATACTGCAGCTATAGAGCAAGACAGGTTTAAAAAATTTGCTTTTTATTTTTGCCTCTTATTAAGTTTCTTTATGTATGTATATATATATATATATATATATAATATATATATATATAATGTCTAAAAACTATATATATATATCTATATATATATATATATATATAATGTCTAAAACTATTGTAGGAAATGAGATACAGAATCAGCAGAATTTCTTTTTTTCAAGATAGGAAAAAAGTTAATAACGAACTTAAAAAATTAAATTTGATAGCCTTTTAAATGTTCTACTGCATTGAAAAGTATGTGTGTTTTTATTTATCTCTTAAATAAATGCACTTTTTAGTTTCCATATCTTTTCTTTTGAATATAGTTTTAGCAGTCAGTTTAAATTGAAGTGCCATTTTAACTTTTTTTTTTTTTATTTTCTTGTAGGCAGTAAAGGAAGTATAGTAATCACGAAAAATTCCGGGTATCATATTTGAACGAAAATATCAATTTTGACCGCTATCGAATGCAATTTAACGATGCTTTTACGTGACATCTATACGTAAGAACAGAATAAAGGACTCTTACTCCCCCCCCTAAACGGCTTATACAGTTGATTCAGAAGAGATTCTTTTCGTGACGTCTGTAAGTACGTATGTACCTAGTATATATCTCGCATAACTCAAAAACGAGTAGCCTCAGAAAGTTGAAATTTAGTATGTAGGACTGCTATAACATGTAGTAGTGCACCTCGTTTTTTGGTTGCAATCGGCCGCACCAAAAGTATATATAATACATATACGTATAATAAAATATAAGATATCTCTCTTTCAAATAATAAATTAAAAACAGCCTGTTAATAAATTAATAATTTTTTATTTTCTTTAAAGGTTTTTATTTCAAATGAAATATCAAAATTCAGCCTACCTTTTCTTCCCGGCGTGACTGTACCTCCGATGTTGACTCAACCTTAAAAAAATAGCGAAACTCAATAAATAGGCCACGAGTAGACGAACACTACAATATATTTTAAATAACATTAAATTTACAATTTCAAATTTTGTCTGTCTTAGAATACATGTTTTACATGTCATAGAATACATCCTTTTTCGCCGCTCGTTCTAAGCGCGTTGTTGAAGTAGCGATGAATTGCAGTGTGCTTCTCACAAACGATAATTATGCGCGAAATTTTAAGCTCTTTTTAACACCCTCAACCTTTTGAGTTTCGGGAACATTGATCCGGAACTCAACACCTTTTTGTCCATATCTTGAGGGAGGTTGCACAACATGTCCAGTCCTTGTTGTAACAAGTTAGTAATCGGGATTCTCTTGGTGTACAGGAGATTCTCCTTCTAACATAATATTCTCCACATTGGCGGCATGGTTCTCACTATCCAGTTCTAAAGGACACAGCCTTTTGATGGGTCTAATCACAAGTCCAGCTTTAGTTTTAATTGTGGCGGTTGTAGCTACTCCATCTTTGCTGGTGTAAATCGATAATATTCTTCCTAAAGGCAAATATAGTCTTTTGAGGTTATCAGTCCATATTAATACGATATCTCCAACGTTAGGGACATAAACTCTGTTTCGAGCTATAGTTCTTTGGTGCAATTGTCCCAAGCATTCATTTCGAAACCTAACTCGAATATCGAATATCAACTGTTTTCTGTAAACTAATCTTTTTTTTTTTTTTTTTTTTTTGCTAATAGTCTTTATCTGATCAAAATCAGTCGTATTACTTAGGCTATTTTCTTTCAAAATTAGATCAGGTGTTAATGGGTTTAAGTATTCTGGATCTTCACTGATATAGGTTAGAGGTCCAGCATTTAGTTGGCTTTCACAGTCACATAGAACGGTATTCATTTCTTGATAGTTTAGAGATACTCGTCCTAAAACGTTCTTCAGAATTCGTTTTAGAAGGCCAGTCAACCTCTTTCAAAAGCCACCGCACCAGGGGCTCCTAGAGGAATGAATCTCCAAGTAATATGAGAAATAGACATTTTCGATCTTTCATCCAGATCGACATATTTTAATAAATTTTCAGCTCCGGTAAAGTTATTTGCGTTGTCTGAGCATATCACTAAAGGGCGACCGCGATGAGCTATGAATCTTCTAAGTGACAATAAGCAATTGTCTGTTGATAGAGAAGTTCTAAATGTACTGACTGCCCTATAAACTGCACGGGTTAAAATTAGGATCCACACCTTCTTTCTTTCAGTAGTAATGGACTTGCTACGTTCACTCCAATAATTTCGAAAATGCAGGCGTTTTTTACACTAAGGCTTCTTAAACTTTTTTCAGTCGAACCCCTTTTTATAACTGAGATTTATTTCGCGACCCCAGGACTCCATAATATTTACGAAAATTTTGTGGGACCCCATAAGCATTGCGCAAATCCGACACATGCGTGAATGAAAATTTCAATTTTTTCACTTGTACTGTAATATATAGGGATTGCAATACCGGTATCCGGGATACCGAATATCGGTATTTTGAGCCATTTGTACAATTTTGTGATACGATGAAGATACAAATTTAAGCACAGTTTCTAAGCTCAAGCCATTAGAGATTTTAGATTATTTTGAAAAGAAAAAAAAGATAATTTGGATGAAATTATAAGTAAAATGACAGCATTAGATGGTTTGCCATTTCGGGTGTTTTGCACTTCTGCTGAATTAAAAAAATCACTATCCGCCAGAGGTTTAAAAGATATACCAACATCGATTAACACTATAAGAACTGTTATAAATTACAGTAACGGTATTCGCAATTCTTTGAATCACACGTTAATACAATTAAAAGTAAAATGTGAAACATTTAGTCTTACATTTGATGAATGGACAAGTGTTAGAAATGGACGCTATTTAAATATAAATATTCATTCAGGGAAAAAAATTGGAATATAGGACTTACGCATGTCTCGGGAAGTATGCCAGCCGAAAAATGTGTGAAAGTGCTTAAATTAGGTAAACATGGATTATCCATGAAAAAAGATATTGTATCCATAACGACTGAGGGAGCAACGGTTATAAAAAAAGTTGGAAAGTTGATTGGCGTAAATCAGAATTTGTGCTATGCTCATGGAATTCAATTAGGAGTAATAGATGTATTATACCAAAAAATAAGAACCCAAATACTGCGGATATAGAAACTTCTGATTCCGACTTTGAAGAGAATGAGAGTGAGAGTGATACTGACAATGAAGATAATGAAAATGTAATTGTTGAAGAAGATATTGCTAATGAGGATGAAATATTAACTCATCAATAGTTGCTTCCTATAATTATTAATAAAGTTCAAAAAATTGTTGAGATGTTTACACGTTCCGCTACAAAAAATGCCTTATTACAAAAATATATGTTTGAACAGTTTACTCCTAAAGATGAAACGATTTTGAAACTGAAAAATCCAATCCAAACAGCAATAATCGACTTAAACCTGCAAATTAATTTTTCCGAAGTGAATTCGATTTAATATCCAGAACTGTATCAGCTCTACTTCCAATAAAACTGTCTGTGGTGGCATTATGTCAGAAAGATTCTAATTTATTAACAGCTAATGCAACAATAAATTTCATGTTGGAGTCACTGAAAGAACAGCACACATCACTATCTGAAGAATTATATATTACATTGAAAAATCACACAGAAGAAAGACATACCGAAATAGAAAATGTTTTTGCTGTATTGACATAATTATAATGATTTTAAAAATGAAAATGAAAGAGAAGAAAATAGACTAACGAAATAAAATTTGATCAAGTTTATCGTAAATTTCCTTAAAATTTTTTGCCCTCCAACCTATCCTTATTCAGAAGAATTCGCTACAGTTATCGAAGATTATGATGACACTAATGTCGATATCGAATAGTGAAAAGGAATTGTTTCTTGAACAAAAATTAGAATTAGCGATAACTAAAAAAATTTCAACAAGCCAAAATACATCACGTAACTCAGTTATATCCAAAAACCGGTGTACTCCAACTGCGCCAATGAAAATCCCCCCTCGACCTGGTATTGTCCAACAGCGCGTTTCTCCCCCCCCCCGTTGCCTACAGGGTTACAGTTTTACTTTTCGAAGTCAATTGTAGCCAAGAGGCAAATAAAAATAAAGAAATAAAATTACATATCACAATCACAAGAACAAGTAAAGAATATTTAACAAACAGGCTAATTACTTGAATAACAGTAATAAATGCGAGAGCTAACAAAGAAAATATTAAAAGGTATTAGTAAAACATACATATTAGCATTACAAACATTTTTCATTAATTACAATATTACAGCAAGGAATATTATAATAATATGATAAATTAAATAATTATAAAGCATACCAATTGTATTTTTTATAAAATGACATCAATAATAGTCATGATGTCTGAACTAAACTGGAAAATTTAGTATAGCTCACTGGCATGCAAAAGGTTATTCCGTATCAAAGTGTGCTAGAAATATTTTTTGTTAATTAAAGTAATCATGTAAATGTTTGCACAAATTAATAGTTAAATTTTTAAAAAAAGCTTAGCGTGAAATCTATTATAACAACATTAGTATGGCGTTTAGAACTCTGACGTATAAATTGTAAATAAATTTTAATTATTATGATAACATACATATAAAACTCGAATACAGTGCAACAATAAGTGAAAAAGGAATGGATTAAAAGGGAACTGAAAATCCCAAGGTATGAATATAAGGAAGTTCGATTTTTTTTTTTTTTTTTTTGTTAATTATGAAAATTTTGCAGACGCTCATAATTATCAATTTATTAATTAAATGTATGCCAAAGTATATTATGTAGAGTAACTGGAAAACAGAATAAATATTTAAACGTTTCTAGTTTTAAAATATGGAATTTGTAAGAAAGTTAAATAAACTTAAAATAACCATAAATAATAAACCATAAATAGTTAAATAACTTCAATGACTAAAAAAGGAAAGCTTAATACGGCAATATATTGCAATAATATTAGTAGTAAATAACCATAAATAGTTAAATAACTTCAATGACTAAAAATGGAAAGCTTACTACGGCAATATATTGCAATAATATTAGTGTGAATTTAAAACCCCTTAAGAAATCCAATTTTTAGATTTAATAAAGAGAATTGTCTAAATTAAATCAGAGAACTGTTGACCTAAAATGGTACATTTGATAGTTAAAACCATTCTGCTAACTAAGATGATTTGCTAATATTTATTTAGACAAGAAATTTATTTTAGGTGCGCTACAAATCCAATATTTGATAGGTTGATTATGTATCAGTTTTGTGTATGCCATTAATCTATCAATTTTATTATTCAAAACTGATATATATATATGAAATGTAATTTCTCATACATTATTTGTTTTGTGCAGCCGGGGCAACAGGAATGAGACAAATTTTGGAATATAAAGTGGTAGGTTTATTTTAGCATTCATCTCGTAAGCGTTCTCCTCGTACCTTGAGCAGAAGCCCAATTTATACATATGTGTACGTCACGAAGCTCCTCCAATCAGCGATATTAATTGAAATCACGAGGTGACGCTATCTTCTCATCAGGAGTGTTCTTAAGTACTTTATGTAATATGACAGATTTATGAGTTTGGCGATTTGGCGGGCGCCAACAGGTTAATATATTTTATACTAAAGAAAGGATTTCGCCAAAATTTAGGAACAGGGATGCAATTTAGGTAGAGAATCGCCAACACATTATTAAGCAATATTAATAGAATTTAATTTAATCAATTGTTTTAAAAATATTATCACAGATTATCCCCCCCATCTGAAAAGGCTTGCAGTCCTGTCACTCAGAATTTTTTCGGGGACTTGTATTTGAAATATTTGTTTTAGACAATTGGCATAGGTTTTTGAAGTTACACTTTTAGAGGGAAAAGCCCAGACATATCTTGTTGCATGGTCAATAACTATATGAAAATACTTTTTTGTAGAATTATAATAATTAAATCCTCCCACAGTGTCAATAGAGAGACAACATTCGAAAGGTTTGTCGGTTGGGGGTACGTCTTGCATAAGACCAAATTTTTTCTGTTTTTTTCTTTTTATTAAGTTGACAAGTATGACAATGTTTAACAAAATTTCCGATATCTTCGCTAATATGAGGTCAATAATATTGAGGGGGTGATTAAGTTAAGCATAATTTGAACTCCCGGGTGACCAAAATTTTCATGGGTTTTATCTCAACAATTTTAATCTTAAAGATTTAGGTACTACGATTTTATAAAAATTCTTTTTCTTTACCATGATATCATTTATCTCTTGGTAATTTTTTACGCAGACATTATCAATTTTTTTGTTGTTGGATTATTTCATTTCTATCAAGTAAATGTACACAATGTTGGAGGTGATGTGAAACAGGATGTCTAGAAAGCATGTCAGCTTCAATATTTGTAGAGCCCTTTTGA